TGATCATGCGGGTGAGTTCATAGGGCCGTGAAGACTACCCAGGGTGGTTCTTTAAGACGTTTTATTTGGGGAGCTCTCGGTATACTGACATTTTTGTTCAATTTATAGGACCTTCATGGCAAAATCCCGGGATTTCAGCCGTTCGGATTTGTTGACGACGATAACAAGATCCTGCAAGTAGTTGCTCGCAAGCAACTTACTAAGTCGCTCAGTAAGCTCCACGAGATTCTACCTCAGGAAAATACAAGTCGATGGCTGACTCGAAAATTCATCTGGCAGATACCATCACCGAACCGCTCTCTCTCGAAACCGCGTTCGCAGCAAACCTCATCTTCGGCGAATCTCAAGGTAGATATCATGGCCATCTCCTAGATTCCTCGGCATGCCTTTCTTTGGAACTCAGACTCACAATACGCCACTTCAGCATGGCACCAACTGCCCCTAAAAGACACGATCCTCGACCTCGTAGCCCGCCTCTCCTCCCGCGTCTTCCTCGGCCCAGAACTCTGCCGTAACGAAGACTGGCTCCGCATCACAAAGGACTACACTGTCCTCTCCTTCACCGCAGCCGTCAAGCTCCGCGCCGTGCCATTCCGTCTGCGCCCCCTCCTCCACTGGTTCTCCGCAGACTGCAGACGCACGCGTGAGTCCCTCGCCGAGGCCCAGAAGCTCATCGCACCAGTCATTGAAAAGCGGCGCGCGGAGAAACGGGCAGCCGCCGCCGGAGGCCAGGCTACTGAGACGCCGGTGTCTAACGACGCTATCGAGTGGGCTGAGGCTGAGGCGCAGGGAGGGGCGTATGATGCTGCCATTTTCCAGCTCACGCTCTCCTTTGTGGCTATTCACACTACGACGGACCTCCTTGCCCAGACGCTCATCTACTTAGCCAGGGAGCCGGAGCTGATCGACCCCCTGAGAGCCGAAATCGTAGAGGTCCTGAAAGCCGAGGGATGGAAGAAGAGCGCGCTGTATAACATGAAGCTCCTAGACAGCGCCATCAAGGAGACGCAAAGAATGAAGCCCGTCTCCATGCGTAAGTCCACCGCCCTCTCCATTACATACAACAACAACCCAAAGCCTCCATCTAATAAATCACTTCTCCGACTACAGTCCTCATGCGCCGCCTCGCCACCAAAGACGTGACCCTCCCAGACTCCAACATCACCATCCGCCGCGGCGACACCGTCTCCGTCGACACCTACAGCTCCATCGACCCGACCGTCTACGAACACCCCGAGACCTACGACATCCACCGCTTCCGCCGCATGCGCGAGCAGCCCGGCGGCGCCAACAAGGCGCAGCTCGTGACGACGAGCCCGGAACACCTGGGCTTCGGTCACGGCTTGCACGCGTGCCCTGGCCGGTTCTTCGCCTCCAACGAGGTGAAAGTTGCGCTTTGTCACTTGCTGTTGAAGTACGACTGGAAGCTGGCGCCGGGGTCGCCTTCGGAGCCTGTCATTACAGGCGCGTCTATGAATGTGAATCCGAAAGCTGTGGTGATGGTTAAGAGGAGGGTGGAAGAGTTTGACATTGATAATCTTGGGTTTGGGGACCTGGAAGCTTGAGATTCATGAGTCTAGTGGTCTTGTTGCGGAGAACATCTTCATTGAAGCAGTTGATCGTTGCTTCTAAGCAGTTTTCTCTCGTTTACTGAAATAAATAAAACATGCAAAAGGGCTTGGACTTGGCTCGAAAAGGAAGAGTCTTGACAGCGTGCTCTCCAGAGGGACTAGAAATCCCATCCCCTTTTTATAGCCTCATATCAAGAAGACCCAGAATGATGACAAACTCATGAAGTTTACAGGAAGAAGCAACATTTCATGGCTGGGACCTACAACGTGAATTATGACAGGAGGACTACTCACTTGCAAAGCCAAGCCGTTGCTCATGAACTGCGGAGGCGTGGGCGACAACAGCACCAAAACCAGCGATAGCAACATAAACAGCCTCGAGACCATTCACCAACGTGATTGCCAGCACTCTCCGACGTCATCCATTACGACCAGGTAGAAGGATTCTACCATCCGAAGAGACCTTAACGCACCTCATGGAGTCGCGACAAGATTTTGCATAATATCGTGACAAAGACGAGGGCGAGACGAAAGTGCTGAACTTTAGCAGGGCCCCAAAAACTGCAAATAAGTCATCGGAATCGCCATTGAGGGCCTCATGGTGGCGCCGTAGATCCCTTATGCACCCCGCTGGCGGCCTTTATAAAGTGGCCTCGTGGAGCGTGAACACTCCGCAAAGCAAGAATGCGCCTCTCTTGAAGAGGCTGTTCGATCGGAGAGGCAAGATCTTGCGTTCCTAGTTGTGTTAAGCGACGATGGAATGAAACTTCATGTTGCTTGGATACTTGATTTATGCACCAGCAGCAGACAATCAGTAGTCTTGCCCTCCCCGCTTCTCTCCAGTATTCGCGTCTGTATACTCTCAAAGAGGGCTTTAGCGAAAGAATCCGACGTGTCTAAGTCTCAATTAACAGTGTTGTCGTAAGAGGGCCAGGGGAAAATGCACCTAGCAAGTCTGCATCAAGAGGAATTCAAATTCCATGATCCGAGGAGTCTAGCTTCAATGCCAGAGACTGTGTAGAAAGAAACATGTAGCATCTCTGCTGGCCGATAGCAATATATACTTACTTTTTCTTGATCAACACTTGCTCCTAGCTACAGATTACGCCAGGAAACACAGTTGCTCAGTTCAAGGTGTTCATGCGAGACGGGACTCAGGTCACACCTATTCACACGGAAAAGGGGCAAGGCAGCGATTAGATCGAGAAAATGCCGAGGACACTAAGAGAATGATCCTGCAAAGGGGATGATGCGGAGTACACGTCGAGAATGGGAGACGCAATGTACTTGCCAGATCTTCTGGAGCTAATACGTTGTTACTGAGAAAGACGTTGTACATGGGATAATACTGCAAACTAACAAAGGAGAGACACAGGACCAAGCAGCCGAAATACCACCAAAGGGTAGCCAGCGGCAGTACCGTCAGCTAGGCAAGCTCATGTTCCCAGACTTGCGCGCATAGCAATACCGTCAGGAGAGAACCTAGAGGTAGCATCCGACTAGCCAAGTAGATCCGTCCTCAGTATCTCTCTCCAGCATCTTCAGCATCTTTAGCTGAAAATCATGTGGAAGGCTTCTCCTGGTATCAACTCAAGATCTGTCACGTTGCAGGTAGGGTCGCTGGCTGACTTGATCTATCACATCAAGAGGTCTCTTAGACTGAACTGAGAAATCTACAAGCTTTGGCTAGCAACTGTTCGTCTATCGTGTCTAATACTATGCAAAGTACCCGATAGTTGACAAGTCTGGCAGTTTATACGTCTACGGGATGCTCGAGACGGACTTACAAGCCTCAACGAGCAAGGTACGTTGGGGGGAAGGGTGGTTGTTCAAGGGAGGGAAGAGAACAAACGCCGGAGCGCTTGAGCCAGAGTGATACACACTACATCGTTGAGAGAGACACCGTACTAACAGGAATCGCCCGCTCATCATCATACATTGCCTGCTCGCTCACGTTCACATTGATGCTCCAACGACGCCGAGGTCCAACGGTGTCTCGAACGGCCCGAGAGTGCGCTCGTCGCAATAGAAATAGGCTTATGATTGTTTCGCCCACCCAGATGCTCCCTGCGAAACCATTACCGGATTCAGCAAATCACTTGCGATGTTTGGGGAAAATGTGTGTGTATGGCTGACTAACTGACACTTGAGAGTCAACCGACGTTGAGCTACATCAGACCAACAAGAACGCCTCGTCCAGCAGTCGACAATCCACGCTTAGACTGTAAAGTCTGTGTGGTCAATGTGGGAGCCAAAGAGATGGTATGCCCATGGGAGGAAACCTTAGCATAACATATCGACTGTTTGGACGAGACGGAAATGGTCGCTTCCAGATCACGATATTAGACTTTTTGGCCGATTTACGACAACGTTTTGGGTGGAGGGGTCGACGACGTAGATCGTCCCCGCATGTTGCCTCTTTCGGATGACCGAGTCGGCTCCGACCGAGCGGTTGACTAAAACTCCCGTACGGATATCCGTCTCGTTCAGCGGTTGAGATCCGAGAATCAGCCGCAAGCTTACCATTTGTGCCTCGACGACAGGGATGACATGTCTGCGAGGTTTCTGGAAAATCAGTGTAGTGTAATGCAGGCGCCGGCCACTTTGAGAGCAGAATTGGTAGTGGAAAGACAAGAGTAAAGAGGCCCATTGGAGGAAACTCTATCTGGGTTCTTGGCTGTCAGCATCCGGCACAAACAAGTCTGTGGATGACTCTTTCGGCGTGCAGTTAGTCGTCAGGGGACAGGGCGGTCTGTGACGAGTTCAAGCGATCATTTCTCTCGCTGGGAGCCAGTCTGAAGTCGGGTAGAAACGCCACGCTGTCGATCGGATGCTGCCACTGGCGAGCGAATTGACATCGTTCGTTCGGGGGTGTGGGGGAGAGTAGCAAAGAAGAGGAAGAGGATGAAGTGAGGATGAAGCAGCGCTGCATAAGCTTAGAGCCAGGCGTACGTGCTGCATGCTGCACCGAGTGTTGGGTGGTTGAGTTGGCTTTCGCGTTCATGTTTCGTGTCGCGGCACTTGAGGCCGAGCCGATCAGGCTGATGTGGGCATGATTGCTAAAGGCGAGCGAGGTACGGAGTACGGTAGGCCATGTGCATGCGTGCGAGGCGTCACGCGAAGGTCGTCGACCAGGCTCTAGCTGACAGGAGACGGGCGGACTTTTTATCAATGTGTAATTAGCGGGTCTTGGCTAGTCTTCACGACGTGAGGTGTCTGGGGTTGAGCTGTGCATTTCTCATCAGCCTTGGAAAGTCGGGGGCCAGGTGCCAGGCCAGGTCGCCAGGGTAGCGGTATGTTCTGTATCCGTAGTGCTGCTATCTCTCTTGAGTCTCTTCTGGTTTGCGAGATTGAGGAACATCATATACCTTGTCCGAGGCTTCGGCCGATTGCCGCCGAGACTCGAACGGCAGCTGCACCGTGCCACCGTCAGGTAGGACGGGGGAACGCCCACCAGGTGTGTGACTTGCGGCGGGAGGGCGCGCGGAAGGCGTGGCGGCGAGACACTAATTTAGCAAAGGAAAGTCTCCGACAGGGTGAGGCGCGAGGGTGCATTTGTCGTGGAACAGTGACTTGCTGGGCTTGAATTACTCGCAACAATTCTTGCTGACACCTCAATGGCCTGTATCCGTTGTAGAAGATAATTCGACCTGTCATTAGCGTGTCTGCTAGGCCCTCGAGTTTTTGCTTTTTGGTTCAGTTGCCATGATTTGCAGTTTAGAAGTGACTCATTCTGAAGACGGGCTTGGCGAAACGGAAATGTCCAGGGTTGCACCGGTTGCTTGATCAGCCGGAGGATAAGACGAGTGGGAGACGTCCGTAGGAGAGTGATAGGAGGCCCGTTGGAGGGAACAGGTCGGAGGGGGAAACAGGGCCGTGAGATTGAAATCTCGTCAATGATCAGCGTCAACGTTGATGGAGAACCGGAGCTGATTCAACGTCCAAGAAGACCTCCGTTGCGGCGGACGAAGCCGGCGGTGGAATGCTGCTGGGACCAGGGGAGCAGGGAGGCCGCGGGGCCCGGTCCACATTGAATTGACGACTTTTTGGTGTCTCCAGGATTCGAATTGCTGCTGTGCCGAAAACCTCAGCTGGGTTGCGGTCGGAGGGTAAGACTAATCGACTGTAAAGGCTTATGTAAGGGGTCAGCGACAATCCACAATGGAAGCAGATACTAGTCGTAATTGATCCGCACGCAATTTAGCATATGAGGTCCCTGCCAGGCTGTAAGACAGTGGGTGGGCGGGATATCCATACGAATAATACGGGTCCTCGATCCTTTGTCGCAAAAGGACTTTTAGATGTGCGGGCCTGATGCGAGATGGAGATGAATAATAATGGTTCAAATATGCTTGTCTGACTGGCGGGAGGCTAGCGGAGAAGTCGCGGAAGACTGGCGGAAGCATGGCGGGAAGTCCGTGGTGGAAGACCCGGCGAAATGACCGGACAGAATGCGTTTGGATAGAGGAGGTCTGATAAGATGGAGCGAGGATGGGAAGCCAATTGTAGAGTGCGATACTTGAATGCAAATAACATTAGTTGTAGCTGGCAGTGATGGCGATGTGGTGGGATGGCCGTGGTTGGAGTTCGAGATCGAAACGAGAGGTGCATATTCGGAGAGAGAGACCCTCCAAACCTGGACTGCTCTTCCTCTCTTCTCTCTCTGCCTAATTGGCTCGCCTTTGGAGGAAGGAAGCTGATTCAGCAGCACTAATCCAAAACAAGACACTATAGCCCTTCTTGCCTTTTCTTTCTCCATATTTTGCCGGATGACTCGAAACCGATTGCCAGGCCCCACACTCCTGACAAGCGCGGATTTCAGATGTTTTGACTGGCCAATGTGGCTGTCCTTGGCCAGGTGGGCAGTGACCAACCAGACTGCGAGAATTCAATGTGGAAGGAACGTGAAGAAAAAAAGAGAAGAAAGAAGGACCAAAAAGTCCAAGGAAAGAACACCGGGAGCAGGCAAAGCGGGGCAGGACCCCATCCCTTGTCCTGGTATTGCCGCCTTTTTACGCCGGCCGCAGACAACGCAACGTGCAGCAGCACAAACTCGGGCAGGCGCTGCTGGCTGCGCTGCTGCTATCTCTCAAGTGGGGCCGCCTTCCCTCGATGTGGTGTCTCCGTTTTCTGCTGTTGTGCGTGTTCTGTGTTCGGCATTGCCATCGCAACCTGCAACATTTCTTGTTGTTTGCTTCCCCTTGTTTCTCTCCACTGCCTGTTGGCCTGCCGCGTGCTTAGCTGCGCATTTCGCTCTCGGAGTTTCGTAGCGCCAACTTGTGCGACGTGTCTGACCTCTATCATCGACGACCATCGCGCTGGATACCTGCGTTTCAACACTGCTGGTATCCACTTTGATCCCTTTCTTTGTTTTTTTTTTTTTTTTTTTTTTTTTGGCCTCTTCTTACTCCGTACGGAGTCTCTCATTCTTCTTTTTTCTGACTGCATCAAGGGTCAGCACACATGCGTCGGGGCCCATGGAGATCTGCTTGGACACATCCATGACGGGCAGGTGCTAGATGATGTTCAATTTGCATCTGCTTTTCAGATGGAAATGTTTGCAAGTCCATGTCAATGTGTCTAAAATCTCTCAACGAATTGGCTGCCGCTAACGTCTATGTTGTTCAGCTCTGCCGTTGTTGGTAACCAGCCCTCCCACCCTATACTAGCACGACTAGTCTGACCAAAGAGGGTGTTCGAGTCCCTCGCCGGGTAGATAGATCGTAGAGTTGCATTACACATTCGCGCACACACACACACACACACACACACACACACACTATACACCTCGAAAGCGTCCTTCTTCCCGATGACGCGAGCCTCTACACACGGACACTCATCATCCCATCTCATCCCACCGCTGACCGCCTCTTCTTCGTTCAAGATCGGGGACATCTGTCTGTGTACCAACGACCAAGATGCCTCGAGGCAAAACCCTGCGGCGGTTGAAAAAAGCTTACTATAGTAGAGACCGGTGCAAGCTATTGCCGTCTCTGACTCCTCCCCGATCTGGCCTCCCACGGGCCACAAGTTACAACGGTTCAAGGAACCAAGGAACCCAACGTTTGGTCTGTGACCTGGGAGGTATCATGGTGGCTCAAGATGGCTCATCATGTACTATCCGTCGACCGTCAGGACTAAGGAACACCATGCCAAGGGAACAGGATGATCCACACAGCCGTACCCCCACCACCTCATGGATGACGGCCGTCTTGCACCCTGGCACGCCTGTGTGTCTGGGTCTCCCCGACAATTTAACAGCTGCGGGTCCTCCCATCGCGCCTCCACCCTGCTGCATCGTCCGTACCTACGCAGCGCTGTTAGTCGCATCTGCACGCCTTTTTCCTGGAGCCAAGCCAAGCACGCACTTTCCAACGAGTCTCTCACTCGTGGCGCTAATAAGGTCCTTTTAGCTGGGTACGGGAGATACGTGGATACAGTATACGGTACCTACATATCCCACTAGATGACGCCCACAACACCACCAATTCCCATGTACTCACCCAGGAAATGCTCTCTGTCTTTCTTAACAGACTAACAGCAGCCTGCCGGGAAGTATGTACCCATCACTCTGAAGACAAGGTAGTATCTATCACCCCAGTCAGGGTGCCTCGCCTTCGCTCTGCGTGCAACAATACCTCCTGAATGCCCAACATCGTGCTGTACCTCCACCTGTGACCTCGCATTACCTTACTCCGTACCTACTGCAAGTTGTTAGCTACCGGCCGGGCTTAAGACGTCCTAGATCCGGGAACCGACTCCGGCGCAAATTGTCACTCATCTTGACGCATCGTTGATTGGTAATGTTTTTTGTTTGGCTCCCGAAGTCGATCCGATAGACTGCCTGGGCCCCAAGACCCTCTTTATTTTTTTCCCTCCTAGACCATACGGATGGATACCCAGTAACCCAGTCCTTAGGAGGTAGTTGCTTGCTGGCCCTGGTTTTCTTTCTCTTAGGTTGTTGACGGAAGCTTCTTTTATTTTTCCTCAACTCCCATTTCTCATCCATCAACTCGCTCTCGGGTCGACGGCCACTGGGATTTGTATATTCCTCCTTTCCTCCGCCGAATGACCGCCTCTTGGTCCGAAGCGCATCTCGACAGTCAGAAACTCTGACACATACACGCTCTCTCTCTGTCACGCAGTCTCAATCCACCGGCTCTTAGCTTCCCCCCCCTTCAGTCCTTTGATCTCTCTCTCTCTATTTCATCCCCTTTAACACGGCACATTGCCGCCTGACTCTTTCGCCTATTCTCCCTCTTTCTCACCATCCATCCCCACGGCATATCACCCCGTACCTCCACTTCCAACGCCTTTTCTCTCCCCGGCACGGGCCAGCCACCGCCACTTTCCGGTCGCCTGGGATCATCGTCACCACTTAATACCAGCTCGACCACTCACTCACCATTAGGTTTCGTGAGGCCGAGCATTAATCAACCCAACGCGCCGTACACAAAAGTCTTTGCACCGCAGTGGACAACAACACTTCGCGCATCACACACCAGCCCGTCGGTCCAATGGCGGACCAGGACTTTGAAAAGACGGAACAGGCCGTCGCAGGAGGTAGCCCCGCCGTCAACGAGAAGAACAACACGGCCGACTCAAGTACGGCCCCGCGATCCTCGACCTCCACCGCCGCCGATTCTGAACAGCAACGCGAGGAAGCTCGCCGCAACAACCCCGATGGTTTCACCGCGATCCACGCCGGTATCTCGGTTCACCAGGCCGAGGCCGAGTTTGCGGAACTCCAGCGCGAGCTGTCTGGTCACTCGCGCGCAAGCAGAGTAAACAGTCGCAACAGCCGTAGAAAGTCTGAAGATGTCGAGAAGGCTGTCGCCAACGTCAACTCGGCCACACCTTCCTCCGAGACGGATGGTGAGCAATTTGACTTGGAAGCCGTTTTGCGCGGGGGCGTCGAGGCCGAGCGCGAGGCCGGCATCAGACCGAAGCACATCGGCGCCTACTGGGACGGGCTCACGGTCAAGGGCATGGGAGGCACCACCAATTACGTCCAGACTTTCCCCGATGCTTTTGTCAGCTTTGTCGACTACGTGACTCCCGTCATGAACCTCCTGGGCTTGAACAAGAAGGGTGTTGAGGCTACTCTGCTGGACAACTTCAAGGGTGTCTGCAAGCCGGGTGAGATGATCTTGGTCTTGGGCAAGCCTGGCTCTGGATGCACAACGTTTCTCAAGACCATTGCCAACTGGCGCGCCGGCTACACCAGTGTTACTGGCGATGTGCTGTACGGGAAGTTTACAGCCGATGAGTTCAAGCAGTACCGAGGTGAGGCCGTCTACAACCAGGAGGACGATATTCACCACTCCACCCTCACCGTCGAGCAGACGCTGGGTTTCGCTCTCGACACCAAGGTTCCCGCCAAGCGCCCCGCCGGCATGTCCAAGAACGAGTTCAAAGAGCAGGTCATCTCCACCCTCCTGAAGATGTTCAACATCGAGCACACCCGCCACACTGTCGTCGGTGACGCTTTCGTGCGCGGTGTCTCTGGAGGAGAGAGAAAGCGTGTATCGATCGCAGAAATGATGATCACCAACGCTTGCGTTCTCTCATGGGATAACAGCACCCGTGGTCTAGATGCCAGTACGGCACTCGACTTTGTCAAGTCCCTCCGTGTCCAGACGAACTTGTACCAGACC